CATGCGCCACCATGCCCGGCTAATTTTCTCTATATATTTTTGGTTGTCCAGCCAATTTCTTTCTATTTTTAGTAGAGACGGGGGTCTCACTCTTGCTCAGGCTGGTCTCGAACTGCTGAGCTCAAATGATCTACCCACCTCGGCCTCCCAGAGTGCTAGGATTACAGGCGTGAGCCACCGCGCCCGGCCTGGGATTTATTTTTTAATTAGAGAAAGAACTAACTAGAAAATAACTTGAACAGATTTTGTTTGTGGTCAATGAGGTCTTGATTAGAAAGCTTTACTCAAAATCTAGAGAAAACATTTTTCCAGGGGAGACTTCATAGCTCATGCTTTAGGAGATAAGAAAATACACTACTATTAAGTGGTTAAGATAGGTCAACCTTACCTCTTGAGCTTTTGCCACAGTTTATCTCTGCTCTGTCATTGATTCTCAGATCTGAAACATTTTGCACAATAGACTGTTGAATTGCTTTGTTTTGCTTTTAAATTTGTTGTTAATTTGTGGAAACTCTTCTTTATCATTTGCTCTTTTCTCTGATTCTCTAATGTAAAGACAAATAATTTATGATTTTATATAACTATCTCAGTTCTGTGATTCTTCTGGCTCTTCTGCTGTTTTTAGAATTGTTATTAATTTTTGCTTCTTTTTTTCTTCCTCTTAACATTTTTATCATTGTTTGAAATTTTAATTCCTACCTTTCTTTTCTTTCTGCTTCTCTTTTGTATTTCATCATGTGTACCTCCATCTTTAAATAATGATCACTTTTCCTTTGTAACTTTGAACTTTTACCTGTGAAACCCAGACAGAGGTTTATTTGCTCTCTTGCATTTCTTTAATTCAAGCAAGATGGTGGTCTCTGGGTTTGGTGTAGAGCATGAAGGTTATTTTGAGTACCATTGTGTCATGCTGTGTTGGAAGGAACACTAGAAGATTGGAGTCAGAAAATCAGAGTTTGGATAATAGCTCTATTGTATCTAACAGTGAAACCTTAGGGATAAGTTCTAACCTCTAGACATCAGTTCCATCATTTTTTAAATTAGGACTAAAATACCTGCCCTGTCCTCAGTAAAAAGATAGATCGATATGTGATAAGGATTACTAGGATACCTTGGAAAATGCCAAGTACTATTAATATTTAAATTTAAACTTTTATCATCCACCTAAGTGTTCTTATTTTGTTCTTATCAATGTTTATTAAATAAACTCTTCCTCACTTTACAGAATAAAAATTACTCTTCTATTTTGAAGTTCGTCTTCTCCTTACCTAAGTAAAATATACTTATTTGTAGTATATTTTCTCTGATCCAGGTATTGAATCTCCTTGCTGAATACATTGTTACATTTTAACTTCCTGTCTTTTTATGCCACTAATTTGACATTGTAGCATATTGCTTGTATTACTGCTGTTATCTCAGGTTACCGTTTTATTTTTAAGTAGAATTTAAGTTGGGTTTGTACTTAGCTTCTTTCGTCTTTCTTCATTCCTCCAATATGTATCACATGCACATTGCTTCATCCACACACTTAGGTCAACATCTTTCATTTCTACCATCCGATTCACCGTGAATATGCTTACATTGTCCCTAGGGTTTATAACAAAGTTCTCAACAACATAATCTCTGTGGGCATTTGCAAACACCTTAAGATTTATTCAGTAATGACTCATCCTGTGGATGCTCCATGATATGGATTCTTACTGATTGGTAATGTAGCCTAAATCATCTTTGTCTTCCATGTATGTTTTTTTCTTCTTTCCTTCCTTTTTTTTTTTTTTGAAAGACTTAGAAAGTACAAAGTATTAAAGCATTTATTCCAATAATAATAGCACTAACTACCATTTATCTTTACAACAATTGTGTAAGATAGTGAGTACTATCTCTGTTTCAAAGATGAAGAAATTGAAGTTCAGGGAGGTTAATTAATCTTTCTGAGGTTACACAGTTAGTGAGTGGCCAAGGATAGCTGTGAATCTCATGCTTTGAATCTACAAAAACCTATTCCCTTCTCTCCTGCAGTATCTCCTCATCTACCAAGTCTCTGTAAACCTCCCTGCCTCCCCGTTTCATTACCTCTCCATATCAGTAATTGGCATTTACTAGGCTAATTATTACTGGGGAGGGAGGGGGGAGAAAAAACCTATATATAGTCTAATTGAGGCGGGCGCAGTGGCTCACGCCTGTAATCCTAGCATTCTGGGAGGCCGAGGCGGGTGGATCGCTCAAGGTCAGGAGTTC